AAGGATTACACCTAGGGTAACTAGTACTAATATCCCAGTAATCTGGGTGGGGGATTATTGTGAAGCTATACTTCACATATGTAAGAAGTGGCCCTTGAATAGCTGGTACTTCCATGGCTGCTAGATAAGCCAGTTAAGAGAATTCTCAAAGAGGCTGGAGAGTGGAACTCACTGCCATTACCAAAGCTAAGGAGTTTTGTGGTGCATATGCTGATTAAAACAGAGTACAAACAGAAAAGCACAAGTCCTTTATCTTCCTGTCTTCTAGTCTACATATAGTGCCCGATTTTGTCAGAACCTAGCAAAGAAGAAAGGTAGTTTGTAGCATCTTGGTATCACTAGCATTAAACAATATAGAAAGGGGTAATTAAGAGAAATATTAGGTTAATAAGCGTCAGACTAACCATTAAAATCCCCTTGCTTTTGAGGAATTATTTAATATAAGTAGAAAGTCTCCCACATACACTCTAAAAAGGCCTCATAATTAATTTCCTCTTCCACCTACCATCTCTGTGTGGTCATTTCCCCTTAGCATACGAGTGTATGAATTAGCCATTTAGACTGCTGTTATATTCCTTCTCATTCCTATTTTCCTATTGCCCTCTTTAGGCTTTCTTTGAGAACCCATATAATAAAGCAGAGACAGGAAGTTTTTTTTTTTTTTTCTAATAGTGCTGGCACAGCAGAAGCATCTAGTTTCTAGTAGCAGCAGTGCCAACAGTGGCTTACAAGGCTTAGAAGCAAAAGCAGCCAAGTCCATAAAGATGGCACCTGTGGTGCAGTCTCAGCAGGGTTTTGTTGGTTGGTCTCTCTTGGCTCCTTTCTTTCCACCTTCTTATTTCAGTTCTTCATTTTTCTTAGCAATGTGAACTGCCAGATACTTTCTAAATAAATTCCTTTTCCTAAGTAAACAAAAATTGCTTTCTGTTTTTTATAATTTACACACTAATTTATATTGTTTGAATCTGATAGGATTCATTTAACTGTCTTATGAGGCATAGCAATTTAATACTTTGTATTTTGGGAAAAGTGATGCTATAATTAAATCTAGGTGTTTGGCACTTATGATATTTGAAACTTAGTTCGAGCTAGGGTTAGATCTCCACCACACAACCCAGTCATCTTCCTGACCACTTGAATCTGAGTACAACCAAGGATCCTGGAAAATGCAGTGAAAACCTCATGAAAAGGAAATCCAAGGAAGGAAAAATCTGGCCAACTCTTTATCTGACTTAGCTATTGCCTGTAAAATAGCTTGGCAGCTTGAGAGCAAGCAAAACAAAAACAGTGTTTTTCAGAACAATATAACAGAATCCAGAATTCACAGCCTAAGTGTCCAGGATCAAACCAAAATTACTCAAAATAAGAATAAGCCAGGAAATTGCTATTGTCTGAAGGGAAAAAACCTGAGCTGTAAAATACCAAACTCAAGTTGAACTACATGTTAGAATTACCTGACAAGAATTTTAAGGCAAATATTATAAGTATGTTCTGTAAGGTAAAAGAAAATATGCTTATAAGAAACCACGCAGTTTGGCAGATAATTCACTGGATAATCTCCATTCTACTTTTTTTACCACAGAAAAATCCTTTGTGAATCTTTCTATTCTAACTTAGATTTGGGTGCTTTCTGGTTAACTCTGCTGGTAGTGTTTTTTCTTGTCTTCCTGAGAAATCCCTTTGCTTTTCTTCTCTGTTGCATTCTTTGTTTGCTAGATATCAGTTCCCTCTTTTGCCTGTTAGTTATTCTATTTTGATGAAACGTGTCTTACCCTTTAGGGCTACCTGATATTTTCAGTTTCTTTGAGTCACCAACATTGCATACAAGTTTTACTTTTAAATTTTTTTGTCTTATTTTCCCTTGTTTATATTTAACTTTTAGCTTTCTCAGGAATAAGTTGGTTAGAACATTCTATGATGTACATCTGTATTTTTATTGTATATCTGTTCTTTTGTTCTTCCTATGTGGTTATTTTTTTTTCCTCAATGAGTTTATTGGTACATTTTAGGTATACAATACAGTTAACATTCATCATTGGGATCTTGTACCTTTACGTGACAGGTCTTGGTTCTCATTTTTTCCCCTTATCCCTGCCCTCCATTCACCCCCTCCTCCCTTCCCTATTTACAAATACTTTATTTCCGTTTTTTTCTTCCCTATATGGTTATGTTAGTAGTGGATATAAGTGCCAGATACTCATTTTACTTTTTCAGTTTTTTTTTGGGGGGGGTCATTAACAGTGAACTCTAACATGACTTGTATGAGTCCTATCTTTTTGTAAATGACTTTCTTGTCAGGCATGCATACTTGGTGATAGTGATACTTTGTTCTTAGGGGAGTGAAATCTTAGATATCAGTCATTTGTGACTCCAAAAGTTACCAGAAAAAATCTTACTCCTCAGTATTTAATTTCTTGGGGTAGGGGGCAGTATAAAGTAAAAAGTTTGGAATAATGTAAAAGTGTAAGAAAGTCTCTTATGTTTCTTTATTTTTAAAATTTATTACCTTTATAGAATGTCTTTGGATTTGATGTGTTTACATTTTCTAGACATGCTTTCTATTAAATTTGTTACATTCTCGTCTTTAAAAACATCCATTAAAGTATTTACTTTGCCTTTTGTCTACTCATTACAGTTGTATGTCAACTAATGGGACACATTCTGAGAACAGTGTCACATTTCTTGTGGTGTACTTACACAGACCTAGATGGTATAGATCACTCATTCAACATGGCCTGTTTGATGCAGTCAACTGACTGAAACAAAAGATGTGAGGCTGCTGCTAGTGTAACACGGTACAGTGTGTTACAGTGAACTTTTTTACAGTAGGAATTAGATCTAAAATAACATTAAGTATACTACATAAGCTAGTAAGATAGTCATTTATCACTATCAAGAATCATGTACTATACACAATAGTATACTTTTGTACACCTAGTAGGTTTCTTTTTGCCAGCATCACTCCAAACATGTAATACATTGCACTAGACAACTACAGCATCATTAGGTTTTAGGAATTTTTCAGCTTGATTATAATTTTACATGATCACTGTAGTATATAAGATATGATCAAACAAATAGTCTGTGTTTAAACTTTTTTAATGTATTGCAGTAAAAGACACATTGTGATTAATGCCCCTCAAAATACTCTCCTTCACTTTGAACACACATTTATCCTGTCATTCTTGTTACTTTTTGGAGCAGTTCTGGAAGTTCTGTCACAGGCATCCTTTCTTGTAATGCTGTGGCTGCCTCAGTGTCCTGCATTGATTCAAAACTATTAACTCTTATGGTCATTTTGACTTTGGGTAGGTTGCAGAAGTTGCATGATGCCAGATCCGGTGGATAAGGGCAGACTATAATGTTTGTATTTGACAAAAATTGCCATAACAGAAGCAGTGTGTGACATGAAGTATTGTTAGGATCCATTGGCCCATATCTCAGACTTTTCTATGCACATTGTTTCTTATATGCTATAATAAGCTTCTGTAATATTTACAGTTCACTGTAACGTTCCTGAACACAAACTAAGCTCACACAATTTCATAAATGTTGAAAAAAGTCAACATTCCCTTGGTGCTTTTTTCGAATGACGAGAACTGGTTGATTTCTATTGAAAACTCCTAGCCTGGAATCTGAAGCAGCACGATTGTGCAATTCCAGTGAAATACATTGTGATCTAGGATTTATGGCACACCCTAGCTCATGCCCACTGACTGCTCCAAAGAAGTTGAAACTTGTCATACACTGTTACTGAGGCACACTTCTCATGGTGAACACCCTGTGTTTCTGTTTATATGGCACTCAGTGGTATCACTGTATTTGTTATTCACATTATATATGGAGTTTTTAAAATTTAAATTTAAATTTTTGTTAGTACATGTTTGCAATACACAATTATTGCTTTCATCACGAAGAGTTGTTGCATGTACTTAACACATCTTGATTCACTTATAATACATAATTTTATTGTTTCTTTCATTTTGTTTTTCTCAAATCGTTATCATATTTATCACATATAGCATAGTTTCATTTTATTGTTGCTTTTTTCCCCCTTTAAGTTTATTGGTACATTTAAAGCAAACAATACGATTAAATTTATCATTGGAATCTTGTACCTTTATATGGCAGGTCTTGGTTCTTGTTTTTTCCCCATACCCCTCACCTTCACCCCCTCACTCCCTTCACCCTTCCCTATTTACAAAGATTTTGTTTCCATTTTTTCACCCCCTTCACCCTTCCCTATTTACAAAGATTTTGTTTCCATTTTTTCCTTTTTTCACATTTTTTCTTTTTCCTTATTTCCTTTCCCATCCTTGTTTCTGATATGTCTTTTAACTGTTCCTTTTTTCTTTGTTAGCTTAACTTTGATTTGCCAGTTGTCTTAGCTTTAAAAAATTTGTTTAGTCTTCTTTTTTCCCCCTCTTAGGGACATATCTCATATGTAGCACCTGTTCATGTTTTTCATCAGATTTATTTCTATTAAGTACCTCTCAAAGCCAAGAATAGAATATGACCAGTCAGGGACTCGCCTCAGTTAGAAAGTTTATAGAAGGATGGAAAAAATTTAGTAATCAAGATAAATAATATTTTGATGTAATTTTTAAAAACAAAATGAACTCATAATGAACTGAATAGCTAAAGTTTAAGGTCAAACAATATTACATGTTTGGGCAGGTGGGAGATGTGTATAATGAAACAATACAAACATTTGATGAAAAATGTTTTTGAAATAGATGTTTATAGTCTGTTTTTGCAACACATTTTCACAGTCTTGTGTCAACTTGTTTGTAGGAGTAGTGAATGAAACTGGGATTTGGTAACTATGACAGATGCTTTGTTATTTGAGACTTCTTCAAAGAATTTGAGTAGAAAAATTAAAGAATAATAAGAATCTCCCAGCATCACAAAGTGAATGTGGTCATATTTTTGCTCTAGGGTACAACACATTGCTGAATATAATTCAGCTTTGCTTTTTATTTTCTGTCTTTTCTCCACAGCCTCATGATTTTGATGAATGTCGATTTGATATTAGTGTAAATGATAGTGTTTGGTATCTTCGTGCTCAGGATCCAGATCATAGACAACAATGGATAGATGCCATTGAACAGCACAAGGTAAGATCTGTAATGTGTACCTATTCATAGAAGACCTAGGTAAACCGAAACTTATAATTGAATGTAAGTATTAGTACTATTAATAAGTATGTATGAATTGGTTAAAGCTTGGTCCTAATAATAACCACTTTAAAGCAGTCTTGACATGTAATGTACTTAGTGAAAAATGAACATGATTTGAATGGTAAAGACTAAAGCAATACAGGTAATACATTTTTGAAATAATCTTATTTTTAACATTTACGTTGCAGTAAATTATTTGTAGTAAAAAATATTTTTCATTGTTAATTGAAACAAATATGCTGTATTTTATAAGACATGCCTTGATGTTCATAGTATTTGCTTTAATAACCACCCTTTTTAATGATGTAGGTAAGTGTATATTTGAAAAAACATTGAATTGTAGAACTTTAATGTTTGAAACCTTCATTATTAATGTTTATAGTCATCCATAATCAGATTGGAAGTTTTTAGAGCATAATATTCAAATAATTTAATCTTTGTAACTATGAAGCTTTGCAGCATTAAACATAGTCTTTCTCTTTTTTTCTCTCATTGAGTTTATTGGTACATTTTAGGGATACAGTACAATTACATACATCATTGGGATCTTTTACCATCATATGACAGGTCTTGGGTCTCATTTTTCCCCATACCTCTGTCCTCCATTCACCCCCTCCTCCTTCCCTATTTACAAAAACTTTATTTCCATTTTTTCATTTTCTCATATTTTTTTCTTTTCCTTGTTTCCTTTCCCCTACCCTTCCCACTTCCCCTACACCTTTAGCCCTTTTCTTCCTATTTTGTATTGTCAATTATACCATTAGGATTTTATTTACTATTATAGTTTTTCACACCAGAGAAACTATTTGGTATTTACACGTGTGTGACTTATTTTTTTCACTGAAGAGTGAGTATATCCTCAGTATACATCCATTTTCCTATGAATGACTCTAATTTATCATTCTTTATGGCAGAGTAATATTCCATTTTATAGAAAAAACACATTTTTGTTATCCAGTCTCCAACTGAGGGGCAAATGGGCTATTTCCAAGTTTTAGATATTACAAACTATGCTGCTATAAACATAGGTGTGCATATATCACTATGGTATGATTCTTTTAATTCTTTTGGAAAAATACCCAGCAGAGAGATGGCTAGGTCAAATGGAACCTGTAATCCTAATTCTTTGAGGTATCTCTGTATTAATTTCCATAGTGGTTGCACCAGTCTGCACTCCCACCAACAATGGAGAAGGGTTCCCTTCTCCCCACAACCCCGCCAACATTGGTTATTGTTTGATTTCTTGATAGCAGCCATTCTTTGTGGGGTGAGGTGGAATCTCAGTGTTGTTTTCATCTGCATCTCTGGAATGACCAGTGATGTGGAACATTTTTTCATATATTTACTTGCTGTTTTACTTCTTTGTCTGAGAAATGTCTGTTAATTTCAGATGCCATTTTTGAATTGGGGCTTTATATTGAGGTGACAATATTTTTGAGTTCTTTATATATTCTAGATAAGAGTCCTATGTCTGAGGAGCAGCTGGTAAAAATTTTTCCCACATTGTAGGTTGTCTCTTAGCTCTGTTGATGGTTTCTTTTGCCGTGCAGAAGCTTTTTAATAAGGTGAGATCCCAGTTGTTGAATCTTTCTGCTAGTTCCCATGCTACTGAGGATTTGTTCATTAAGTTTTTTCCTGTGAAAGTGTCTTTAAGAGTTCTGCCTAACTTATCTTCCAGTAAGTTTAGTGTTTCTGTTTTAATATTTAGATCTTTAATCCACTTGAATTTTAGTTTAGTGCATGGTGAAAAATAAGGGTCTTGTTTTAATCTTTGTCAGGTTGAAATCGAGTTTTTCCAACACCATTTATTTAAGAGGCTATCTTGCCTCCAGTGAGGATTGTTGGCTCCTTTGCCAAAGATGAGGTAGCTGAGTACATCTGGAGTAGTTTCTGTAGCTTCCAATCTATTCCACTGATCCTCAGGTCTATTTCTTTGCCAGTACCAAGCTGTTTTTATCACAGTGGCTTTGTAGTATAGTTTCAAATTGGGAAATATTATACCCGCTGCCATGTGTCTGTTGCCTAGCATGGCTTTTGCTATTCTATATCTCTTCTGGTTCCAAATGAATTTTTGGATTATTTTTTCTAGTTCTGTGAAATATACTGTTGGAATTTCAATTGTCATTACATTGAATCTGTATAGCAGTTTTGGTAGTACGGCCATTTTCACTATGTTGATTCTTTCTACCCAGGAGCAGGGGATATCTTTCCATTTTCTTATGTCCTTTTCGATCTCTTTTTTCAAAGTGCTGTAGTTTTCGGTGTAGAGGTCTTTTGCTTCTTTCGTTAGATTGATTCCTAGATACTTCATTTTTTTGGATACTATTGTGAAAGGAATTGTTTCCCTAATTTCTCTCTCTGTGAATCTGTTATTTGTGTACAAGAAGGTTATTGATTTTTGAGTGTTGACCTTATATGCAGCTACTCTACTGAGGGTGTCAATTAAGTCTAGAAATCTTTTGGTGGAGATTTTTGGATCTTCAATGTAGAGCATCATATCTTCAGCAAATAATGACAGTTTAACTTCCTCCTTTCCTATCTTTATTGCTTTAATTTCTTTCTCTTGTCTAATTGCTGTGGCTAATGTTTCCAGAACTATATTGAAGAAGAGTGGTGATAGTGGGAATCCTTGTCTTGTTCCTGATTTTAATGTGAAGGTTTTCAGTTTTTGGCCATTTAATATGATGTTGGCAATTGGTTTTTCATAGATAGCCTTTATTAAGTTGAGATATAGATCATCTATTCCAGTTTTTATCATGAATAGGTGTTGAATTTTGTCAGATGCTTTTTCTGCATCTCTTGAGAGAATCATATGGTTTTTGTCCTTGACTCTGTTAATATAGCATATTACATTTATTGATTCGCGTATGTTGAACCATTCTTGCATCATTGAAGTAAATTTTACTTGGTCAGGGTATATGATCTCCTTGATGACCCTCTGTATCCTGTTTCCCAGTATCTTATTAAGAATTTTTCCATCTTATATTCATTAAGGAGATTGGCCTATAGTTCTCTTTTTTAGTTGGGTCTTTCCCTGGGTTGGGAACCAAAGTGACACTTGCTTCCAGTTTGGAAGTATTACTTCCCTTTCAGTTTCATTGAACAGTTTAAAGAGTACTGGCAGTAGTTCTTCTCTAAATGTGCTGTAAAAATTCAGTGATGAATCTATCAGGACCTAGGCTTTTCTTCTTTGGTACACTTTTAATTACATTTTCAATTTCACTGATTATAATTGAGTGTTTACATTTTTTTTTATCCTTGTTCAACTTTGGTAATTCATAGGTATCTAGAAATCTGTCCATTTCTTCTGTGTTTTCCATTTTATTAGAGTACAGGTTCTCAAAGTAGGTATTCATGATCCTCAATTTCTGCTGGATCTGTTGACTTCACCTTTTTAATTCCTAATTGGCATGGATCTGAGCCTTTTCTTTCCTTTTTTTTTTTGACAAGGTTAGCTAAGGGTTTATCAATTTTATTTACTCTTTCAAAAAACCAACTCTTGGATTCATTTATTTCTTTTTTGTATAGTTTTCTTAGGTTCCATTGCATTGATTTCTGCTCTAATCTTTATGATTTCCTCTCTTGTACAAGCTTTGGGTTTTTCTTGCTCTTGTTTTTCTAGGACTCTAAGATTCATCATTAGGTCGTTTATTTGAGCTTGCTCTGTTTTCCTAATGTGGGCCTTCACTGCTATGAATTTTCCACGTAGAACTGCTTTCATTGTGTACCATAGATTTCTGTATATTATATTGGTATTATCATTTATTTGTAAAAACTGTCTAATTTCTTCTTTAGTTTCCTCTGTGACCAATGCATTGATTGTTCAGGAGAGTGTTGTTAAATTTCCATGTGTTTGTGAAGTTTGTTCCTATAGTTTCTCATGCTATTGTTCTCCAGCTCAATTGCACTATAGTCTTATAATATACAGGGGATAACTTTGATTCCTTTGCATTTATTCACACCTTGTCTGTGAGGTAGTATATGGTGGTCTATCTTGGAGAATGACCCATGAGCAACCAAAAAGAATGTATATTCTGATATTGTGGTGTGGAACACTATAAACGTCTATTAAGTCTATATGTTCAAAAGTTTGATTCAGTTCTAGTATTTCGTTGTTGATTTTTTGCCTAGATGATCTGACTATTTGTGATAGTGAGGTGTTTAGGACCCCCCACTACAATTGTATTAGTGCTTATTTGGTTTTTTATGTTATTTAATATTGGTTTTATATAGTTGGGGACATTATGGTATATATATATTTATGATTTTCATCTCTTCCTGTTGAATTGTTCCCTTTACAAGGATGTAGTGGCCTTCTTTGTCTCTCTTAATCGGTTTTGGTTTGAAATTTGCTTTTCTGTGAATAAGATAGCTGTCCTGCTTTTCCTGTGCTCCTGTCACATGGAGAACTGTTTTCCACCCTTTCACTTTCAGATTATGGGCTTCTTTTTGCACCAGGTGTTTTTCTTGTATACAACATATTGTTGGATTTTGCTTCTTAATCCATTCTACCAGTCTATTTCTCTTGATTGGTGAATTGAGGACATTGACGTTGAAGGGTATAACTGATATGTACTGACTTATTATTGTAATGTTACTGTCCTTTTGTTGACTCTTTTTAATTTTTCCCCTACTCCCTGTAGTTTCTTGCCTTATCTTGATTTGGTCTGTTGGGCCTCATGGTGTTGTGATCTTCATTGTCTTTTTCTAGGATATTGTTTAGAATTCCTTGTAGTGCTGTTTTGGTATTCATGGAGTTTCTCAGATGTTCTTTGTCATGGAAATATGTTATTTCCCCATCCATTTTGAAAGAGAGTTTTGCAGGATACATCATTCTATGTTGGAGGTTATTTTCTTTTAGGACTTGAAACAATTCACCCGGGCTCTCTTTGACCTGGGGGTTTGTCTTGAAAAGTCTGCTGTGCTTCTGATGGGCT